TTCTTTATTATCCAGCAATTTTTTCGCCATAATTTTTTGAAAAGCGATGCACTAAAAATTGTATAGAAAGATGAAACAAAAATAAATTCCCTAAACAGAACGTTGATGAAAATTTTAACCTAAGTTTGAAGTTAAATGAAGAAAGTTGGTTTTAAACCTACAATGTTTCATTCACCAACCAAGCATTCTTTTTTTCGCTGTAAACACACTATCTGGAAGTTGTATCTGTCATAGCAGAGTATTTGACGAGAAGTTTCTTGTCTATACATCTAACTCTTGTTTTTTCAATGAATTTAAGCCTCTAAACAATTGTCCACCACTGCCAGTATAGATTAATCAGACAGCAGCTAAAGATTAATAAAAGCTTCATTGGCTCTTTATATTTTTGCCAAAAAAGTGGTTTGAAGACAGAAGTGTAAATATTTAAGGTACTTAAAAATATTAGTTGGGTGCCTTTTTGAAAAATGTTTTGGCTACAGTGAAGCTTCTTTTTGTTCTGCAATTCTTTTAGCCATTTTTTAATCGTTCTAGAAAAGTGGTGCGAGCCTCCCAAAATATTAGATACTTTAAAAACAGTAACGCCAGCCATTCTGAGCAAAAATTTTCATTTCAGAGAAGCTTATAATTAATGGTTTTGAGTTTCAGATGTAATAAAGTCCTCGTGCTCATTATTTATTTAAATTCTAATTTTGATAAACCAAAACTTTGTCTGGCAGCCTGTGAAAGGAGCAAATGAGGCTAATAATAGCCTTACAAACTTTTGCTTTTAGTAACTTGTTGCCACGGTTCTGATTATTTTTCACAATTAATCTCTTAAGAAAAAGTATTTTTAATGCAAATACATGCGATTAAATGGTGTTAATTAGCAGTAGGAATTCTCATTGTCCCAAAACTCTCTCGGGAATAAATGGCGAGAAAAACAGCGTCGATACCGAGCAGAGGAGGAATGGAGGAGGAAAATGTGGACACTGTCCACTGCACAACTCTGCTGAAAACACGTTCAAAACTGAAAACGTTTATTAAATAAAGGCAATCAAAAAAGCCTCCAAAGACCACTTACTAAACCAACTTCAGTAACAAAATATTACATAACAAAAAACTTTTAGTAGATTCGTAACAGAGTAGAAGAGGTTATCAACTTGATACAAACAGCAAGAACATCTAGTAAAACGTTTTCGTTAAGTGATATCATCAAGTTTTTATCAGATAATAGAGAAGATTATTTCATAGCTGAACTTGCAAGACCAGTCGGCCAAAGGTTCTCTCCCACCACATTTGTTAAAAAAATTTATATAAACACTACGACTTAAGGGAAACAAAGAGCACAATTTGTTCACATAGTCAATAGGAACTGAATAATTTTGGGCAAAAGTGATTTAATAGCGCTAAGACGTTTTTAATGCCGAAGCTGCAACAAAAGCAGCCATCTTTTTTAGCTTCCTTGAAACGCAAAAAGAATGAGAAATTTCTCAAGACAGCAACGGCCATCATTTGTCTGCCAGCATTCAGCTGTTGACAATTTTCTTTTCTAGGACCGTTACACTTCTCGCACCCTATTTTAGGCAGAACTGGCAGCAAACAACCAAACAAAAATCCTAGTAGGTTTTGTCTTCAAGAGAATCAAAAACCACTGGAAGTTTAAAAAAAGAAACTCAAGTTACCAGCGGAGAAGAACGAGGAGATGTCTAAGAAAATTAAAAATATTTTATTCTTTGTAGGACAGTTTACAAAGATAAAAGAGTTTAAGAGATAGAAGTCAGCGTATCCTGATATTCAAACCAAAATTCAGAAAAACTAAAATTAAGTGTTCAAAAGCGGTAGCTTGTACTCAAAACTTATAAAAATTCTTGCGCTGTACTAGTCTTTAGTTGTTGAGGTTCTCCGCTACCGGCAAATCCACTGCTTTAGCAAGGCACTATTTTTGCATTGGAAACTTTTTCAAATTTGCTGTATTAAACTAGTTACATACCATATTCCAAATTATGAAAGTTTACCTAAACGACGAAGAGGTTTTTGAAAAAGGAAGTATGATAAGTACTGCGTGTGGGAGAACTGAATAAAAATCGTCCAACAAAAAAATTTTTGAGATTTCTTCTATGATCTTTCAACGTCATAATTACTGCATTTCTTGCTGAATTGTCTGTGGAAAGCAATCAGTAATATAATATGGGACAGCATAATGGTTTTTAAAGTACGCTTTATGACAGTCTTTGCGCTCTTAGTAGCTAATGCAAAAAAGCCAAGTTCTGCTCTAACTATTGAATTTTGTCAGTTTTTTGTGTCAGTTCTCTGCAGACTAAACAGTTTCCTGCTTCAACACAATAAAAAAACAAATTTAATAAAAGAAACAATGAATTGCAGGTAAAAATTACTCAAGAAAGGCAGCAAATACGTGATGAGGTGACTAATTATAGATTAGACGGTAAAGAAAAATCATTTTATTTCTGTCCGCTATTTTTTTAAATCTCTTTCAAAACCGAGTGGACTTTTTAGAGTTTTCTTTTTTTTTTTTTTTTTTTTTTTTTTTTTTTTT